ATCTTCATTGATGCATCTTAAAAGGTTCAAATCTGAGGTTCTTTTATACAAAACTTCTCCACTCAAGAAAAATTTTGAAGCCATTCTACTCAGAAAGCTCTTGTCCTTTGTACTAGCATGCAGAGGGTAAGTTCCAGTTTTGAGAAATTCCTTAATATCATTATACCAAGAAATATTGTCAGAGAACTTGTCTACAACCCAACAGTGGGCAGGCTTGTCTTGAAGTTGAATCTGAATAGGTTCGATCCTCCATTCATCTGGATACTGGATCATAGAGGCTAAGGTGGCCAGAGCATCAGCAAATGCATTTCGGGCTCGCGGGAGATGTCTGAACTCCAAATTTTGAAATTGCTTGGCCAGAATGAGCAGACTACAATGGTAGGGCAAAATTTTTGAATCTTTGGTTATCCACTGCTTCAGGGTTTGGTGCACGAGCAAATCTGAATCACTGAAAGCTATCAACTCTTTGATTTCCATTTTTAAAGCCATTTTGAGACAAAAAATGCAGGCTTCATATTCAGCCATGTTGTTTGTGCAAGCAAATTGCAATTTGGCAGCAGCGGGGTAGTGCTTCCCTTCGGGTGAAACCAAAACAGCTCCAATTCCAGCTCCGAGAGAATTCGAAACTCCATCGAAGAAAAGCCTCCATTCAGGGCTTTGCTCACTTATATCGTCCGTGGCGCCTACAAATAAGACTTTCTTATCAGGGAAATGAGTATGAAGTGGTTGATAATCATCATCCCTTGGATTTTCTGCCAAATGATCAGCTATAGCTTACCCCTTGACAGCCTTCTGTGAAGTGAAAACAATATCGAACTCTGAGAGAATTATCTGCCATTTAGCTAGACGCCCAGTTAGCATCGGTTTCTCCAAGAGATACTTCAAAGGATCAGATCGGGAAATAAGATAAGTAGTATGGCTCAACAGGTAGTGTCTCAGCTTTTGAGCTGCCCAGACCAATGCACAACAGTTTTTCTCAATGAATGAATAATTAGCCTCATACTGCGTGAACTTCTTGCTTAGATAGTAAATGGCTTGCTCCTTCCTTCCAGAGTCATCATGCTGCCCGAGGACACAACCAACTGCTCCATCGAGTACAGATAGGTACATGATCAATGGTCTGCCTGGTTTGGGTGGCACCAGGACCGGAGGCTGCAGCAAATAATCTTTAATCTTGTCAAAAGCTTGTTGGCACTCCTCATTCCAGTACAACGGCACATTCTTTCTCAACAATTTGAACAACGGCTCGCACGTGGCAGTTAACTGGGCAATGAATCTCCCAATAAAATTGATCTTTCCTAAGAAACTTTTCACGTCCTTCTGAGTTTTCGGCACTGGCATATCTCGAATTGCTTTGATTTTTGCTGGATCTATCTCTATGCCTCTTTTACTCACAATGAAACGTAACAATTTACCAGCTGGTGCCCTAAAGGCGCACTTTGCAGGATTTAGTTTCAAATTGTACTTTCGCAACCTTTCGAACAGTTTCTTCAAATCAACCAAATGGTTCTCTGCTCTTTTAGACTGGTTATGATGTCGTCCACGTAGACCTCCATCTCCCGGTGGATCATGTCATGAAACAGGGTGGTCATGGTCCTTTGATAAGTAGCTCCGGCATTCTTTAGACCAAATGACATCACTCGGTAGCAAAATGTGCCCCAAGGGGTGATAAAAGCAGTCTTCTCCCTATCCTCTTCTGCCATCAAAATCTGGTGATACCCAGCGAAGTAATCACAAAAAGATTCAATCTCATGCCCAGCGGTATTGTCCAGGAGAATGTGAATATTTGGCAGATGAAAATCATCTTTAGGACTGGCCTTATTGAGGTCTCTATAATCCACACAAACTCGCACCTCTCCATTCTTTTTTGGAACAGGGACTGGATTCGAAAGCCAAATAGGGTAATGGGAAACAATGATAATGTTGGTTTTGAGCTGTTTTTCAATTTGTTCTTTTATTTTGAGGCTCATGTCTGGTTTGAATTTTCGGGGTTTTTATTTTACGGGTGGAAAAGTGGGATCTGTGGGCAACTTATGCACTACCACATCAGTTGAAATACCAGTTATATCATCATAGGACCATGCGAATACATCCTGGAACATAGTCAAAAATTCAAGCATCTCCTTTTTCTGCCCCTCATTCAAATGAATACTAATTTGCACCTCCTTAACTTCATATTTAGTGCCAATGTTAACCTTTTCTGTTTCTTCCAGGTTCGATTTTGGTTTCTCCTCATATTGTTCAAAATCCTTTGCAAAAGAATCAAATACCTCCTCATTATCACTCTCGTTTTGGAGCTCGGATTCCCAGACCTCCAAGTCGTGAGTGATATAGAGATTGCCATTATCGAATTCCAGAATAGTGATATCCAAAGGGTCAAATGGTTTTATTTTTTGCCATCTGAAAGAATTAACGAACGTGGGATAATAAGCAAACAAATATGCAACAAACAAATGGACAAACAATATGACAGCAATATAAGCAAGCGAATAAACAAATCAATGTGGCAAGAACAACTTGTGCATTTTCATAAAACCTTTGATTGAAAGCGAAAACCAAAAACAAGCGGAAACGAAATGAAACTTAACAATATTTGCAGGTACAAATTTTAGCCAAAGGTAAAGATGCTTTCATTAGCTATTTACAGATGCAAAAGTATTTTCATAAATTTGCATGAATGACAAACCTCCTTAGGTTTACCGAAACTCCTTCCGAATGGGCAGAAACTCGGCTGTCCAATTGGAAATTGATCCTTCAGGGATGTGGGGAAACTCGGCCTCATCTGGGACACTGTCTTCAAATGTCGCCCCAACGAACAATTGGGCCAAACTAGTTTCGATTCCGTCAACTGGATCAATCTCTGATGTGATCACCTCGGTTGGTCGTGGAAAAGTATAGCGCAGTGGTGGAATATCAAGGGCCTTTTGCATGCCTTCCTTCTCTGCTCTCTTGCGTTCCTTCATTTCTTTGATGTCTCTAGCGGTTGGTCGGAAAACCAAGCCGAATGAATCCTTTTTCTCCACGACTTCCACTGGCTTCAGAATTCCTTGCAAATCACGTCCCAACCCTTTGTCAAACTCATATCCTCCGTGGATCATTTCCTTAGCCATCATGACACTGGCCATTGACAAAGCTCGTTCCTCTTTTGTTATCCAACTTACGGAGACGATATCAGCTGTGCTATGAGGGGTCACTGTGGCGTTTTGGCTACCATCTTCTTCGGACCCAGAATCAGCAATCACGAGGCAATCCTCCTCAGCAAAGATAGTTATCAATTTGTCATTTACTATGAATTTCAACAATTGATGCAATGAAGAGGGCACAGCTCCGGACTTATGAATCCATGGCCTTCCAAGCAAAATATTGTAAACACTAGGAAAATGCATGACTTGGCAAGCTATTTGAAACTGTGCGGACCCCATCTCGATGACTAAATCCACTTCTCCTATAGGCTCTCTTTGTGCTCCATCAAAACCTCTAACAATGGTCCCCGAAGGCCTCAACTTGATATCTTGCAATCCTAACTTTTCCAAGGTACTCCAAGGACAGATATTAAGCGCAGATCCATTGTCAATCAACACCTTTGACAAAATCTTCCCATTGCACCTCACAGCTATGTACAGAGCCCTGTTATGTCCAATGCCTTCCGCCGGTAATTCATCATCAGAGAAAGTGATTTGTTTTGTAAATAACACGTTCCCAACCATGTGTGAGAAATTAGCAACCGAAATGTCCTTAGGGATTTGAGCTTTGGTCAATACTTCGAGCAACGCGTCCCTATGCATATCTGAAGAAAAAAGCAGATCCAACATGGATATTTGGACGGGCGACTTGCTTAGCTTCTCGACCATATTATATTCACTTCTTTGGAGCCTTTTAAGAAAATCCAAGGCTTCTTTCTCAGTAATTGTTGGTTTAGCGGGCTGCTCGGGCCTGTTTGTTTGAATCGGAACGGTAGCTCCAAACGGACTTGCAATCCTCCCTGATCTAGTGACCACTGACACCTCCTCTTTGGCAACTGACTTTCCTCCAATTTGTATGACAGATTCATTGTAATTCCATGGCACTTGCTGCAAACTCAGAACAGTCTCCTGCCCTGGGAATTCGATGACTACTGGCTCCAAAGCCTCGCTCTCAGCTGGAGTGAGATCCAAAATGAAAGGTCTTTTATCCTCCTCAAACGGTTCATCTTCTATTATGAATGGTCGGTCTGTGACCCCAAACACCTCAGCTTCCCTTGCCAATTTTTGGGCTAGTTCGCCATACTCTGCGTCGTCCAGAATGACCCCAATGGTATTAGCGTGTTCAGGTAAGGGATTCCTATTTACATTCGGCCCTTGTGCCTCCCTTTTCCTAATTACAATCTCTCCAGCTTCAATCATATCTTGAACTTTATGCTTAAGAGCCTTGCAATCCAAAGTTGAATGTCCGGGTGCCCCTGAATGATAAGCGCAGACAGCTTGCTGGTTATACCAAGCGGGCATGGCATATGGATAGGTAGGACGGGGTACCATACCAATTTTTCCGACGGCCTTTAACTGGTCATACAATTGGTCTAGAGGCCTACCTAAATTGGTAAATGTACGGCTAGGGGGTCGGTTGTAAGGTTCAAGAGGTTGAGGATGGTTGTAAACATGTCTATTTGGGGGAGGAAATCTTGAGTTATATGGAGGACGAGGTCGGTTTTGAGGTGGATTTGGTTGAGAGATTTGAAAAGGGGCTACAGGTGGGTTAGGATAGCTTGGGCGAGGTCGAGGGTGCTGGATATTGGTAGTATATACATGGTGCGGGTTTGAGTAATAAGGGTAACGTGGTTGGTAGGTTGGATTGGGTTGGTATCGGGGTCTGGGTGAAGGGTTCTGGTTCCAGATAAAGGTTGCATCCCTCTCTTTCTTTTTAAACTGTGGCTTTTTCCCACTGTTTCCTTGCCCTTGCAAAGCTTCTAATTGTGATTTTAAGGCAGAAACGTTAACAATTTTTCCGACTCTCACAAAATCATCCTACTCTTCGAATTTATTCACGATAGCAGCAAATGAACACCCAGTCATGCGGAAAATTTCTTCAAAGTATGGAAGATCATGCGCCTTTATGAAAGTGCGAATAACTTCATCTTCGGTCATCGAAGGCTCAACCTTGGCAGCTATCTTTCTCCATCTTTTGGCGTATGTCTTATGATCTTCAGATGATCGCCTCTTCGTGCCTTCCAAAGTAGTTCTGGTCAGTGCTAACTCGCAGTTATACTCGTATTGTCTGATGAAGGCGTTGGACAGATCAAGCCAAGTTTTCACCTCCTCTGGCTTTAAGTTTGAATACCAATCGAGGGCGTCGCCTTCTAGACTCTCCGGAAATAACCTTAATGGCAAGTTCTCGTCATCCACCGGTTTGCCCAACTTGTTGGCAAACAAACGCAAGTGTGTCTTCGGATTGCCTGTACCGTCATATTTGTTGAATTTCGGGGTCTTGAATCCCACGGGCAGCTGCACATTTGGAAACAGGCACAGATCATCGTAGTCTAACACCCCTTGCTTGCTTAAACCTTGGCTTTTCCGGATGAACTCATCGAAACGATCCAATCGCTTAAGTAACTTCAGATCAATCGGGGCAGATGACTCCCCCACTTCCGGCTTGGCTTGAACAGTGTGCTCCAGCACAAAAGGCTCTGCGGTAGTCTGATAAAAAGCTTGTGGATCCGGAGGCATGTTTGGACCACCTTGACCACCTTGAGTCTGAAATCCTTGCCCATAGGGAGGATAGAACGGAGGATTTTGAGTGTAAGTATACTGTGGGTTGAAAACTCCCTCAAAAGTGGTTTGGATTGGAGGAATGACAAATGGTTCGGATTCCGGTTGCCTGATGGGCGGAGGCTCGGGCTGCACTCCACTACTGATGAGCTCGTCGATCAACTTCTTTTGGGCGGCCATTTCAGATGCCATTTCCCCAAATTTGGTGAGTAATTCAGTCAACTGAACCCCGGGACTTGTGGTTTCCGGTTGGGCCGTTACAGCGGTCTTATCAGACGTCTCTGGCTGAGTACTCATGTCTACACGATTCCTTTGGGCTCGACTTCGGGATCGCGTTATGATGGGGCTTCGTCGAGAAGCTATGTTTAAATGTTACCTGAAAATACGAAATGGCGTGCTTTTAGATTTAGCCCTGGCTTAGCCTTTTTAACAAAAATAAAACAAAGAAAAAGAAAAAGACAAGAGTTAGTAGATGTTCCAAAAATTCGGATGCATGTCCTACGGGGGGACCCTTTTGTGCCAAGGGTAGGCCTAGCATGATGCGACACCTTCGAAATGGGACCCGTACAGACCTGTTTTTGACAACAATTCTAGATAAGTGCAGAAGAGAAATCGCTTTCATTGATAAACTGGCCAATATTTACATCATGTCACGAAGACGATTCCGTACAAGATTGCCAAAACTTCTGAACCTATCTAATACAGAGTCCTTTGTTTCCCTAGCATATGGAATTCTAACTCGTTCAGTTTGGTCATATAATTCTCCGCACTTCCTTTTCAGCTCTTGACGCTTTTCTCGTTCATTTTCATACAATTGCTTGTTTTGCTCTGCTATCCCTTTGTATGTTTCGACAGACTTACTTAACTGCAGAATTTTCTTATCCTTTGCTTCGACGATGGCCTTCAACCTTTTCACCTCCTCGGTTGGCTCATCTTGTGTTTCTTGCGTAGCGGACCTTCTCGCCCAGTCTTCGTATTGCGGAGTGGTCAATCCTCTTTGTTTGAGTTCTGGGAAGTATTGAAATCTCCCGTCATCCGATAGTGTCACCCATGCCTCGATAATCTGGTCTTTCATAGGGAGCTCGTTTGGGCACATTCCTTTACTGAAAACGACGGTAAGCTTACTCATATCAACCACAGGCGGCACCTCTTGTGTACGTCCTAACTGTCTGAGGAACCTCTTTGGAGTGTATGCGGCGATCCCTTGGGTACCCAATAGGAGAACAAAATCTGACACTTTAGTGCGGAGTATCGGTCTAAGGCAAACCGTCCAGTCTAACACCCACCTAATGTCTTGATCTGGCAACATCCCTAAGTATTTGACACATTCAACCGCATCGTTCGGCAGACCCCCTTCGTTGACTCGCTTATGATGCGTAATTACCCAATTATACCCAACTACTGGCAAACTTTCCGGAACGGACGCTCGTCTCTTAAAATGTTCTAGGGCCCAGATGTGCAAAACTATATTAGCCCCGTAGAAGAACTTTTCCCCTTTCTGGCAGTTGGTACAAGCTAGAAAAATGTCCGCAAGGATGGTCGGGATTATGGTGCATTGTTTACCTCGAATTCCTGAAAAAAGGTCTTGTACAACCTTTGCTACCTTGAAAGCTACTTTCTGATCTCTTCTCGGAAAGAAATAAACTCCCGCCATAACTATTGCATACACCACTGGCCTTTTGCGTTCCCAAACATCCTTGGATGTGAATGAAAAATCCTCCCTATATCTCTCGAACCCATTTCGTAGTGCAAAATGCTTAAACAAAGTGTTCACGGGGACTGCCTGATCCGACCCTTGCAATACAGCCTCCCTCAATCTTATGATCTTGCAAAATTCTATCTTGTCTGAAACGTATGGGAAAATCAAGGCGGTTCCATGCAAAGGTAAATTAAAAAGGCCGGCTATTTCCTCAAGTGTCACTGTCATGTGCTTATTGCCTACCATAAAGGCCGAACATTCCGGATCCCAAAGATGTACCAATGTTTCTACTAGATAGCCATTGGGCTTGATCTCCTTAAGGTCACCAATTGGCCCTAAAAATTGAGCTACTTGATGTAATTCGCTAGGTAGCATGAGGGCAGGCCATCTTTGAATCTCGGCCGACGGTACCAACAACTGGTAGATTCGACGGGGGCACTCCATCTAAAAATGGAAGAGGCGGGTTGTCAATTACCTTACCTACGGGTCCCATTCTCCGGTTGGCAAAAAAATTAAACGTGCAATCCCTTGAAGGGTTATGTACCCATGGGAACAATCAAGGTGAGTTTAATCTTAATAACGGGATCCCCTAAATGGCATTCCCTTTCTAGGGTTTATGCATGATGCCAGTTTATTAAAGCGATAAAACATGCAGTTTGAAATGAAATATGACCTAAGGAACCCTTCATTTGCCAGGGTAGGCCTAACATGATATGGCATTATTAATCTAAGAATGCAATATACCAAAATCTTTAAACGTGCAATAGCCTATCTACAAGGGTAGGTTCTAAAAGAAGGTCATGCCAGACCTCTTATTTGCTAGGGTTTATGAATGCAATGGGGACAAAACCAAGAAAAGTTAGCTCAACCAAATCAATACACATAACACATTGTAACAACGAGATAAAACAATAAAAGAAATAAAGCAATAAAAGGAAAAAGGGGTTGGACCCCTCCCTTCGTGAATAGTGTCCCTAACTCAGGATAAGGCCGACTCTATCCTAGGCAAGCTATCATGGATGCATGTGGTATTGGCTCACTAATGCATCTAGACTCGATAGGTTTTAGGTCCCCGAGCCTTCAGACTTGGAAACCAAGGGTTATCAATTTCAAGATTCTTTGTCGGTGGCTCGAGCGATTCCCCAGACATTGCTACGCACACATCGTGTCATGGCTACATGTCATGAGTGAATCTATCAAGAATCCTCAATCTTCAATTAAAAGCTAAAGGCTATGAATCCAAAGCTTACAATGGAAGATTAAGTGACTCCTCGGATCATGCTACGCACACATCGTGTCTCGCTCACACGTCCAAGTGAGTCGCCTAAAATCCTAATAGGGTGGAGTGGCGTGACAAGCCACTAAAAGAAAAATAAAGGAGGGATAAATAATTAAAGCGTATGCACGTATGCTAGTGCTCGTTTGGAGGGGAGGGATCAAGAACCAATGCGAGGCTCTAGGGTACATCCCCCACCCAAATGCAATGCAAAGCGTTGAATAAAACAAGTACGACATACATCCAATCAACCAATCATACATACGTGAGTGAGGGAATAGTTTGATACGCGCGCGAGGCAAAAAGTCCTAAAATAGAAAATGCAACCCTAATATCCAAATGCTACGCATAAAAAGGGTAGAAAAGGGAAAAGAATAGCCAAATCAAATGCTTGGACCCACTTAGGAAGTCCCCAGTGGAGTCGCCAACTGTCGCGCCCCAATTTTTGAATGTGGTGTGAAAGTAGTGTATGATGTGTATGTGAACGTGTGTGAAAATGAAGATAAAAGGCTGTGGGACTTGAAAATGCGACGATTTGGCCAAACAAAGTTCAAAAAGGGTTTTTAATGGAAAATGGAGTCGCCACTTGGTATAGAGTTAGGGTGTACCAAGTCACCCAAAAAAGTGATTTTTAGAAAGAAAAGTAAACAAACCCTTTTTAAAGAACTTTTAGATCTACGTAACCAAAGAAAGGGATCGGGGGTCACATTTGATAAGGGAGAAGGCAAAGACAAAGCCTAAGGCACTTCCTTACCCTAGCAAAAGCTAGTTGCGTGACTTAGCCCTTCTTTTCCTAATTCTTCTACCCAAAATATGCGTTACATGTTGGATATGACTAATGGATATGAAAAAGAAATGCAATCCTAGATCTAAAATGTCTCTTACGAGGCCTTTTGGTCCCAACCATATGAGTTGTGGTGGCCAATAAGGAAAATCCTCATAGAGGTCGCGAATGATGCAAATGAAGACTCAAATATGAGTGCAAGTGTGAAAATGTAAGAAAACGTGCATGTGCGCAAATGTAAGACAAGTGCACGTGTGTAAATGGAGAAAATAAAGGTGTTTGTGTGCAAATGGATGAAAATATGATAGTAGATACATATAAGTGCAATTGGGTGCAATTTGTGGGGTAGAAAACAAATAAGTGATAGGGAAAGTGTGTGAACATGGCATGTGGATCGCAAAAAATATAAGTTGTGAGAAAATGTGGATAAAAAAGTGAGGAAGTGATATGATAAGAATGAGAGTGCATGAACCTAGAGGAATGCATCAAGTCGGGTACGGGAATGACTCCTAATTTCATGACTTTAATTTTTTCTTTGATTAGAAGGGAGAACTAGCGTGCTAAGGCTATTTTGTAGCTACACTCGCTCGTTTCCCTTATCGAAAGGGGGTCCTCAAGCAAATGTACCCTATAACTAGCATGAAGATGCAAAAACCTAGAATGAAGGGGAAAGGATTGGAGGAGCATGCCAAATGCTAGAAACTAAGAAAAATGCATGAAATGTAGTGAAACATGCAAGTATGAACTAGCGAGGGAAATCCCTAAGGGTCTAGCGTTGGACTAGCCCATATCTATGAATTCCTACTAGCGTTGGACTAGTGGAAAACGGGACAATAAGCCACAACTAGCGTTGGACTAGTGTGGTGACGTGCATTCATCCATTACATTCATCTATGACTATGAAAGCAAGTAGACATGCCAACCACCTATAAACACATAGCACATAACACTTAGCATGCTCGACTAGATGCAAGAGTCTAATAAAGCAAATTAACACATAGCAACAAAAGCAAGCAATGAACCTATTACATTCGCTAACTAAAACAAAAAAGGGGAAGGGGAAAAATGGACAGAAATGCTCTCCAAATCCTATCTATTACAAGCCAAGAGGTGTACACATACCCCATAAAAGAATAACTTAATAAAGGCAAAAGTAAATGAAATAAATGAAAGGAAATAAGGAAAGGTAAGGGAAGCAAGTAGACATGCAATTCTCACTTAGCACGTTGGATCACATAGGGTCAAATAAGGTCAAAATAAGGGATAGAGTGTACCTCCCTTGAATCGATACCCTAACGAAGTGAACTTACTAATTTACCCTCCAAAATAATAAAAAGGTCAAGGTACCACTTTAGTTATCAAATAATCACATGAAACAAAAAATTAAACACAAAAATGGAAATTAAGCATGAAATGAAAATTAAACATGGAAT